AAAACGTTTAACCTCATCAAATTTTGGCCGCATTGTTAAAAGAAATTCAAAATTACCCGTTGCTAAACTATCATCTTCTCTTCTTTACTTTACATTTTCTGGAAATAAATCAACACGTTTTGGACTGAGTCAGGAAAGAATTACTATTTTGGAATATATTCAGTACATGTTAAAGAAAAATATATCAATCAAAATTGAACAGTGTGGACTTATTATACATCCTATTCACAAATTTTTGGCTGCAAGTCCTGATGGCATCGTCTTAGAAAATAATAACAGAACCGGAATTATTGAAATAAAGAATGTTCTCCACAACAAACCTATATCTTTGGCTGAAGCAACAAAATTCGTTTTTAATTTCTGTTTAGAACTTAATCATGACAAAGAACTGCAACTGAAGAAAAACCACAACATTTACTACCAATCTCAGGGTTTATTAAATATTACAAGTTTACCGTGGTTAGATTTTATTATTCGAACCATCAACCCTTATGAAATTCATATTCAAAGGATAACAAAGGACTCATCATTTTGGGAATCCATTATGCTACCTAAGCTGGAAGCATTCTATATGAAAGCAATTCTTCCAGAATTAGCGTCCCCGAGACATAACACGTATCCAGACAATTGGGTATGCATAATACATGTATACTTTCTTTCCAGTTGATATTTAATAAGTTATATTTTGGTGAAAATATTTTTTACCTTTTATTTGACATGTACATATTACATGTATTAGTTTTTAGTTAAACTACTAAAATATAGATTAAAATGACTATTAGATACAGTATTTAGTTTAATATTTTTATTTTTTAAAGTGTATATATCATTGACCAAACCATAATTTTAGTGTTTACAATTTGCAATAATGAAAATAACACCCTGATATACATTTATATAATACCAGTGAATTAATAGATAGTTAAGATTATTTAAATAATATCATGTTTGGAGTAGAACCTACAGTATACATGGTATACATTCACTATATGAAAAAAGGTTTACCCATACCTGAAATTTCAGTCAAAAAGAATGGATATAAAAATGTAATGTTCTATTTTGCATTGAAATTCATACGCTGTAAATGGTGTATTTGCAATTCTTGACAGCATAGATGACTTTCTTAACAAAAACAAAGATAAATTGCAATGAAATTTAAACATGTCATCTGTTTCTGTTCATATTGTCTTCTTAAATGATCTACATGATGTGGTTATCCATGTATTGTGCACATTCTGTAAAAATGTATAAATGCACAAAAAACCACTGAAATTCCATTACAAGATAATTGAGATATAAGTTTAGATTTAGAAATTTTGAATAAAATCAAAGTTGTATCAACTATATGGTTTATTTTTTATATTTCAGTTTCAGTCAGGTTTGGCTGAAGGGCCCTCAACTAGCAGTTTAATACAGAGTAGAAAAACAAAACAGAAAGACCCCAAATTGAATACCAGTGTGAGTGGAGAATCAGCGTGCTCAAGTAAAAAAAGAAGGAGGTATGTTAAACTACATGTTTATGCTTATACATTGTATTTTAAAATACCTGTAAATTGAAAAAACAAAAAAGAACATCTATATAGATTGCTTTTATTTTATCCTTTTTGTTTATAGCTCTTCAACATTTTTGGTCCTTATACATCCTTGGCTTTCAAATATTTGATTGTTAGCGTTTCTGAAAAAGGTAAATCTAGAAAACTTCTTCCCACGCATAAATGTTATGCAGTGTTGTATTCATTTATTCTCTACATGAATATCGTTCAAGAATCATATTTTTATATTATCATAAATAAAATAATAATTCAATGAGACAAATCTTCATACAACACACAAAGTGTAAGCAATGAAATGAAACCATAAAGCCTTCAACACAGGGCAAAAACCTTAACCACCAGGAAAGCTATAAAGGCCTTAAAATATACCAACATGATTTACTTGTATATACAAAAGAATGCAAAAGAGTTAACGAAAGAACATGTATGAAATATAGCAATAAAAGAAAATTATTTTATTTTGTATTTAATCAATGTATCATCATCCAAACAAACACAATATTTAGACTTTTAAATCAAAAAATGAAGATGGAGTGTAAACAAATAGACCTGTTAAGTAGAGCTAGAGGTTACAAAATATATACAATAATTGATCATGCATATTTACATCTGTGTTGATTTGATCATTCATTAGTAATAATCATCATATATGTCGTAACTATAAGATAACCAGGCTATCAAGACATGATATGTTAATCAGAAAGAAATTTTAGAACAAAGAATAAGAATAATTATGTTTTTGTGTACCGCAGTTATCAGTTTTAACATGTCATGTAAAAAATGTAATATAAAAGTTTGAAAATCTGAAAATGTTGTTTAAATAATAGGTACAGTTGAGCTGTATTTTTGTATTGAACTGATTATGGTTGATGAAATCCTTAATTATGATTTTTGTTAAATTTATTTAATTTTGACGTAGATATTGAAATTTTAAGTTGTTATATATTTCAGTTGTATGAGAAGTTCAAAGCAAAAGTTTGTTGGCCGACACATTATGTATGAATGGTTTGATTAGGAGACAAATAGCAACAAATGGTATAAAGGTGTTGTAATTACCGTCTTGAAAAAGTTGGATGGTGATGAAGATGCAGTTTACGAAGTTTTATATGAAGGATGTGACGATTCATATGAAATAGACCACCTTGCTGAGGATTTCAGGAATTCTTCCCTGAAATTCATTGACATTTAAATGTAACTATTATTATTCATACAATTATTACCAAATTATGATTTTCTCTCTATATAAAACCATTTTACTGAAAAAGGTTATCACAAAAACATTAATTGGATGAAAATGGTTAAATTTTAAATAGTTTTTAAAATATGTTGTAATAAATACTTTGGTCCTATGGCTGTTACATCTTGCAACTTTCCAAGGAATGCTTTCTGAATGCATTTTCCAGGTGGCTTTATTGTCACTTTAGTCTAAAGAGTATAATAAAGCAAGTTTTAGTCAAGACACCTATTTCACCTGACCAGTTAATCAGTGTATTTTTGTTATAGTTAATTTTTTACTACATAAATTTGGATGTTTCTATTAAAAATTGCTTATTTGTTAGACATGTGAATTTTTAAAATGCTTCCAAGTAAGGATTAAATCAGTAATGTTTAAAAAATATAGACAATTTTCTCTGTTCTGTCACTGTTCCTGTGTTGATTATATGAATTAATTTACAGTAAAAGGGAGACAATTCAAAAATTGTCCTGTAATGCACACCATACATTTTGAAAAAGTAGTTCCTGTACAGGTGAATATTGAAAAAATAAATGAAATGAATATTCTTATTAAATGCTTTTATTAGGAAAAATGTAAGAAAAGAAGCCTGGCAGCATCTAGCTATGAACTTAATGAACATTTTAACATATATTTTTCAGATTTTGAAGATTGCATTTTTTTAAGACATTTTCTTTGATGTGGCGTACATAAACGGTCTTCATTCTAGGAAACAGATAGATATTTATTTCATTGATGATGATATTTTGATACTACAGACTATGACAATTACAACGGTATATAGAAACTATATTTTATGCAGTGAAAACATATTTTTTTTAATTTTTTTTTAATGCAATGAAAAAAAAGTCATGATGAACCTTAAGCAAATTCGAGGCACGTTTCACTCAATTTATCAGTTTGAAATGCCTTTTTACTTAATTCTCCGTTGATCTGGAACGGTTGTAGAAAATATTACATCTCACAATCGAAAATAGTTATATGTTCTCCAATATCATAAAAACAAATAAACAGAAATCCTACCCTTTCTCTGTCTGTTGATGGTCCGTCACCGTGCTGGATATTAGATACTATTGAGTCCAAACTTTTTTTGCCTGGGTAGTTTAGACACAATGGTTTAATGCAATAGGAAACATCACAATGCATTTAAACGACATGTTTCGGAACGAGACCAATTTATTTGTATTTTTTACATCGCAATGACCGTGAGGGCATTCCGATGTATTGCTATTGCCTAGATTTCCATTACATAACTTTCGTTTTGGGTTTGTAACCGATCTATAAACATGATAAATACGCGGATATTAACGAGTGCAAAATAACATTCCTTATCGTTTGTTATAAATACATCTATTCAATGAAAACTGATAACAATATTTTTGTTAAGAACATAAATTAATAATATGAAATTGTTTTGTCGTTGGATATATATATATATATATATATATATATAAGTAAAAATCATTGATATGGTAAAGAATGCGGAAGAATATCTCAAGAATAGTTTGCGACAATGCCGGCAAGGACCGGTAACTCTGCATGGAAGATTGTTTTTGCGGGAAAATATGAATGCCTACTCATATTCAATCTTTTAGAAAAATCGAATTTTTACAGAAGAGTGTCCACCATGCACTTGCACTGCACTCTTATTAGAATAGTAGAATAGAATGATATACAAATGGATGAAAATTATATATACATGTAACTGTTATATTAATATAATATATAACAACAAACCAGTGTATACTGATTTGTATCACTACAATATAATAGTTACTACGGTGAGGTTAAATTTCTGTCATTGATTCATCATCCACGCACGAACTTGGCTCAGAAAAAAAATATCTCTGTACATAAACCTCAGTTTCAGGTATAGAGATGTGATTTATTTTCTGTGACAAGTGCTTTTGACAATCTACAAGAACTTGCGGTCATCCGATGTTCAGTACTTCAGTACTTTGATTTTATCAAGGTTGCGTATTTTATTCAATCATATTGTATGTGCATGAAATGTAAACTATATTATATAACTATGTGTAGTACATTTAAAAAGTCTCTGTATTAGGTTTTAAAGATATTTCAATATAAAAATAAAAATGCCCTATTCAAATTTTCTGTCTGCAAAAATTGTTTCGTTATCTAAGTGACCTTGTTTCAGATTTTTTTAATTTTATAAATTCTGAGTTGTTAAATGAATTTCTTAAATTACTTACATGTTTCTCGTTTTCTCCAAACACATTTACGGTAAAAAAGGAAATTACAGCAACTACAATCTTTAACGTCATCATACTGTTACTTTGTATCCTGATATAATTAATGATAATTGTCCTGAAATTGAAAATATATGGTAGGTTTTTTGTCGGATCCAGAGGAGGGTTTCGGAAGTTTAATCCCCTTTCTTCCGATATATGTTATATGTTTATAATAACCTAAAAATTGACAAAAAATTGTGACAAACCCCCTTTCAACAGAATTTTTTAACCAGCGCTTTAAGATTGGTGCTTTGGCTAAACTTTTTTGGAAGCATTTAAAGCAACCATTTATCAATGGTATTATATCAAAGAATATGATTTTAAATTTGTATTAAACAATTTGTAAATACACATGTCATGCAATAGTATTTTCATTATTGCGAAGGTTGTATGAACACTTTTTTGTTGTTGTTATCTACATTTCACAGAAAAATGAACTGCGTGAATACTAACAAAAAGAAAAAGATACTACCTTATACATTAAGAATTAATTTCAAATAGTAATTTACCATAAAAATACATGGTAGATTATTTGTCGGATCCAGAGGAGGGTTCCGGAAGTTTAATCCCCTTAGTGAAAAACACCTTTTCATCAGAATTTTTTAACCAGCGCCTTCTTTTAGTTATCTTTTTAAACCCTCGACATATGAATGGTCTTGTTCGCATTTTAAACCAACATAACTAAAATCGACATTAACGGAAATGAATAACGATATTCTAATAATTAAAGTTCTAAACTGTTAAAAGTGACAATAATATTCTAAAAATTACCTTACCCTTAAACACCACAAGAACGGTCGAACATTTTGATAGATTTCAAAACTCTGGAAGTAATGTTACGCATGAAGTCTCAAAGATATTTAATATAGCATATGCGCAAGTAAGTAAAATTACGATATTTAAAATTTCCAAATACACCGTTGGTTTGTTAAATGTGTATTCGGGAACGGATAATGGTAAGTAACTATTTTTTCATTATAATTTTAAGACTGGTATTTTGTAAGAAATACAAAGAAATACAGTTAAATTATATGAAAATCAAAATTTGCTATGTACCAGACTGAGAAATCATTTATAAATGTTTGGTCTGGTTGTATTTTTCAAACAGAAAATAAAATGATTATGGCATTTTTTTTTTTTTTTTTTTTTTTTTTGTTTCATTTATGCATTTTGGGATTTGTATTAAGAATACGAAACTATAATGAAGTATATTCATACTAAAGTCTTTCTATGTGTGATTTTATTTTCCTTCAGAGGCCCATTCCGTGGCTTTTGCTATGGCTTCTTTCGTTATTTGGTTCCACAGAATGTGGAATCTCCTCGCAGTGGGATCAATGCGGCTGTAGATGGGAGGATTGGGAAGCATGGGGAACTTGTGATAGTGAATGTAATGGTGAACGCAGACGGTCACGAAAAGTGTGGCTGTATACCAACATGCCCGGATGTGTCTTCGCATTCAGCACATGCGCTACCAGCGACATGGGATTGGACTACTCGAGATGTAATGTTTTTTGTCACAATGGAGGAACATCAGATAGCTACTCATGTAGCTGTGTAACAGGATTTTATGGAGATTGCTGTGGCTTTCGTAAGATTTTATCAGATATTCTATGTAAAACTCCATTTATCCTGTTGCTTAGATTCTATTCAAGTTGACTATCATCTACCAAATGTTATACATACATCATAGTGATTGGTTGCATGTGCTGATCTAGCAGCACCAAACAGTGCATATTTTGATCTTATAGCAGAGATAAACTAAGACGCCTTCTTTTAGTTATCTTTTTAAACCCTCAACATATGAATGGTCTTGTTCGCATTTTAAACCAACATAACGAAAATCGACTTGAACGGAAATGAATAAAGATAAGCATAAAAATATAAAAGATTAGAAAAACTGATTTATCAAAATCGGTTTCAAATGTGTAATAGTATCTTATTATTGAATTGTTACTTATTGGCACTAGACTTACTAGCATTGTCAGATATGTGTATCAAGGGAAATGAATAAATCTGTACAAAGCAACCCTCTAAAAAAACATCAATCAATCGATATTTTGTTAATCTAAGTTGCAACAAAAATGAAATCAATCAATCAACCAATCAATTCGACAGTCGTTCGCCTACTTAATCGATCGTCGCCTTCTTAATCGATCGATCAACCATACTGTCAATCGATCGACACACCAGTTAAGCAGTCGATGCAAAATATTAACAATAATAATTAGTCAAACTTAAAAGTAAATTCACTAAGATAATATCATTAACGAAGATAACACAAAGAAAGTGAATCTTCGTGCTTATTGTAGAGGTAAACTGCGGAAATCCTGGGTCTATATCAAATGGCAACTTAAATGGAGGTACCTACACATATGGTAGTACTGTAACATACATCTGTCAGAGTGGATACCTGTTGGTAGACGGATCGTCTAGTAGGAAATGTGAATTGAACGCAACATGGAGTGGAACAAAACCAAGATGTGCATGTGAGTAAACTTAATTTTACTAACTAGAACAAGAAGTCATAGTACACGTATTTTGTCTTCCATGTGATTTAAAGGGGTTATAATTCTGTGAAAGTATTATTTTAGTATGTTTTTCTATGTTCCTTGATATTTCAATAAAACAGAGTAACTTAGTAACATGAAGAAAATGCGGAAAATTGATATTCACAGCACAAAACGTCACGTGTAGTCTAAAGAAAAGGCAAAATGATTATTCATTGCGGCACTTAACCACGTGCAACTCATAGGAAAGGTTGACAAAAGATATTTAAGGCGCTAAAGGTCAAGTGTTTTTAGTAATAGTAAAAGCTCAATGATAAGTTAATATTGATATTAAAAGACCTCCGAACAAAAAGGGGTGTTGAGATCTGAGTCCGAAGGGCGAGGGGATTTGAACAGCTCTTTTTGTGAGGAGGTCTTTTAATGTTAACATTAACTTAATCATTGATCTTTTACTAACTTACAAACCGTCAAAAACATTAGAAAAGTACACTAAAAACACTTGCAGAAACCTAATTCCCCTGAATTGGTCGAGTCTAAATATATTCAACACAAATGATAAACAGTACTCAGACTGATATAGACAAATAACAGTTACCTTATTGCATTCAAAACATACCGATTAAATGGCATTACATCATTTAATTATTTATTTATTATAATTTTTTAGCATTTAGATAGGACCATAAGATAGTTTTATGAAATTAAGGGTAAACTTATATTTTTGAATTCCAAATTTTGAATATGACGATTTTCTATTTTATAAATGAGGAAATCAAAAACCCTATACAGACCTCATTTACAACTGACCAATAAATGATCTGCACCAAAACTTCTTGTTATATATATTTGATGTTTTTAATCTGTCAGTAATCATGAAATAGATTCGTAGAGACACCAAATGAAAACAGTAAGTAAACTCTTCCAACAATAAGCTATTTAAACAGCATGTTTCATAACTTCTAATCGAACAGACCTAGATACATAAGGTCCTTCACAATATTCAGGTAAATGGTCATTTTGGTTTTGATTCTATAATTTTCCTACACTACGTTTCATCAAATGCAAAATAATTAGTGTTGTCTGTTCAGTCTAATTAATTAATAAATCGTATTTTTAGGTTTGATTTTGAGGTATGGGCTTTGTTCATTGTTGAAGGACGTACGGTGACCTATAGTTGTTAATGTCTGTGAAATTTGGTCTTTTGTGGAGTGTTGTCTCAGTAGCAATCATACCTGGCTCGATCAAAACGTGTATAGATGGAATATTTTCGCAAGGTTGATGATCATTCTTCAGTTAATTAAATTGAAATACAATATATTATATGAAAACAAACACTTTTATTTTAGTCGTCCGCCATTTCCTTTTCATATCTAAATGTAGTATTAACAAACAACTTGGAAACAGCTTTTTACTTTTCTAAGTTTTATAATCGCCTGTCAAAACCTTATATCATAAATCGCAATTAAATCGTAGATAAGAACCATAGTAAAAACATTAAAAAAGTATAGGTGTTTAGTTATGTAGTAAATTGCAAAACCATAAAAAAAAGTTTGCACTATCATTGAGTAATTTAAATGGAAATTTTACATAATAACATTTTACGAGATCTTGTCTTCTTCGTGTACTATGTACATTGAATACATTGGTTGATTGTTGTTTGCTTTACCTCCAGTGGCAAATATTTCATGCATGTTCATGACGAGAACACATAAATTCTAAATACAATAGGTAGATCTTGCAATAGGATGTAGACATTGAGGTAGGACGTGAAAATTGGAATATCACTGGAAACTGAGGATATTTTGAATAAAGTCAGAAATTAGCCTTGCAACAGCTGGACACATCCAAACCCCTTAAATAATTGGTGCAAAAATAGTGAATTTGCAGAGAGCGTTGATCCATGAAATCTGTTCAGAAGTCGGCCATCCATTTTTACGTGTAGTTTCTAAAATAATTTAACATTTCTAATTTCGGTTTGATACTTTTAGCACCACTTTATAGTAACTATGAAATTTTTGTGAAACTGTATTTTATTTATCTCTGTACATTAATTTTTGGTATGATATTCTGTACTATCGCTCTCCTTGTTTGTTTCGTGTGTGTGTTCTCCTCGAGATCGGGAGGTCGTACCGGGTCTAACAAAGACGTAAAAAATGGTACATGTATTTGCTGTTTCAACGCTAAACTAGCGGTATTTGAAAGTAAGAACACAGACTTGTCGATTCGGAGCCAGAAATGTTTCCGGGTAGGGTGACTATTCTTCCTGCGAAATGATATCTTCATGTTAACTTACGCGTAAAAAAACTGACGCCGCGTGTCGATCTAGTACAATGCGGGGTTAATACTCATATTATGTTTACATCTAATTGTCCTGAATATTCATTCATTATTCCATATTGATAGAATTTTAGTAGGGTTTTCTATATGAATTGGATTTTGAATAAAAAAGCATATTCACTTGCTGAAAAAGTATATTCACCGCGAAAAACGCCGCGTGCTTTTACGTGTATAATAACGGTAAAATATACTACAATTGGTTTTAATAAATAACTGTTATTAAATACATATTTTTCTCTTTCGGAACATGGAATAAAACAATTACTGTCTTTTGTTTCGGTAAATATGTGGTTTAATTGACTTTTGAAAAACCTAGTGACATTCACTTCGGCCGTTTGCCTCAGTGAATATCAGTTTTTCAAAAGTCAATAAAACCACATATTTACCCCATCAAAAGACAGTAATTGTATAATATTCCACAACTGACGTCATTCATTATCATCATTTATTTTACCGTTATTCTATACAGTGAAGTGTTTTTCTTCTACTGGTTTATATTACACCTCCTTTAATTTCCACCGATCGAAATTAAAAAAAATATGGCAGGTGATGTTTTTCAACCAAACACTTGTGCTTGTCAGGATATCTTTAACGGTAAATAATATTAAATCAAATGTCCCTGTTGTGACAGATATTGTTAAATTAACTCCGTAATGTTTAGTCATGGGACAGTTTTGAGCTTATTCTGTATACGCATCTTTCTATAACAAAAGACTAACTTAAAGTTGACTCTTAGTATTTTGATTTTTCTGTGTCGTTGGGTAGCTGCCACATTAATGTATAATACATTTATCTCATTTTATTCAAATCCGAAGGCTTGACTTTGGTATAGAAATATTGACATCTCTGGATCTCTCCAGTCCGAAAGTATACCCTTGCGAAAGGGGTGTGTCAGTTTGGCTGTTCGGCTGCTTTTATAACAACTATTATACCAGATATAAAAAAAAACTTGAAACAGCAAATTTTGCCCCTTAGACCCCGTTATACTAGGACATTTAGATCGATTTAAACTAGATCGGTTCACTTTAGTGACTGCCGTCGTTGTACGCCTATGATTTATTGCCACTCAATGCAGATTTTTTTTTCTGTTCTTCTCTCATCCTCCTAGTATGGTTGGATAGGATATAATGTAACCCCTACTATGTCATGCATATTTACGACTAGATGTAAAGTGGATCAAACTCAAGCAAATCATAACAATTTTACAGCATCACTTTAATAAGATGGAGCGTTGACTAAAGGTACAATGTATGCCGTAATAGAATAAAGTTGAACCACAATCAAAGACGTAAGTTAAGTTATGAGCCCCCCCCCCCCTTTTTTTTTTTCTCCGGTAGACAAATGCCAAAAACGAAACGATATGAATTCACAATCAATAACGGCCACTGTAAGTAAATGAGATTTGGACTTATTTTGAAAATTAATTCCTTTTGCAGCCTGCATTTCCCGGTTTCGGACAAGTTTGTATTTCAACTCAAATACCTTTTGATTATTGACCGGAGATATTAAATCAACCAAAAGCACTTTTTTTCTCTGAAATTGTACATAATGGTATTTCATTTTTTTACCCCATCCTATGTTGGACCCCCGATTTTAAAAGGGCATGTCTTATTAGTCATGCCCGATTGACTTTTAGTAAAAAAAAAACTGCAACTTAAAGACCTACACCGGGTTAATAAGTTCAAGGTACAATAAGTAAACAAAAGAGATCTTTTGTGTAGTGAGATCGTCACAGGTATCTTAGATAATTATTTTGCTTTGAATAACAATAAAAAATGCACGAACAGGATTGTAACATGTATAATTACATGTTTGTCTCAGTATATATCACTTTCCAAAAGTTGATAAAACCATATATTTACCTCACCAAAAGACATTAATAGTCTACTATGACATTTAATATAAAATGATACAGTAACCCAACGACGAAACAAAAGTCATCTTTTCAACAATAAATGGGTGTCTATACTATATTATACAATCTGTAAATCACTTCAAGTCGTAACAAGGTGAAAGAGAATACCTTTGGAGGAAAACTGTGAAAAAAAAACATTAAGTAAAAAAAAAAAACTCTACAACACGATGTAACCATAAGGAGAACGACGAAAAGACAACAGTCTACAAATTAAAACTACACAGAAAACTGCTGATCAGGCAATACTAACCACACAAAAAAGCAGAGGTGACCCCAGATTCTAATGATGGGTACGCAGTTCGCGTTTTTAATGAATTTACAGAATACCAAGCATTTTCCATCAATATCTAGAAATAGAAACCGTGTTTTTTATGCCCCCGTCGTAGGCAACGGGGGCATTAAGTGTTACCCTTGACCGTCCGTCCGTCCTTCCGTCCGTCGCATTTTCGTTTCCACACTCTAACTTTAGTTTGCCTTGTGCAAATTTTATGAAACTCATACACAATGCTAAGAACCACAACAAGCAGACAGAGATATAATTTGGGTTGTGAGTCATTTACCCTTCAAGAAGTTATGTCCGTTTTAACTTGGAAAAAAATGCAAAACTTCAGCGGAGGCACTACTGCCCTTGGACACATTTTTCTTTTATTTTTTTATTTATACTCTGATAACGAACATCGTAGCATAATCAATATAAAATGAATTTGTTATTTTTTAATGTATATTTTATTCGTCAAGAAATTGAATTATGATAGTTAATATTGCTTTTCAGTCTTTGATTAATGGCACATTTAGAAATAAACGAAAAGTGAATTTATTGAAGTACAATTTAAAAAAGACATTGGGGTACGACATTGAGAAAAATAAAACAGAAGTTCACATGTATTCTTTTATATTTAGGCTGGGAACAGTATATCTAACATATATATATGTTTCTGATTTAGGTAAAAGCAACTAACCGAAAATTTCAAAACTGTAACAACACTAAACGATGTGCTTACTTTTTTTATAAATGTTGTTTCGGAATACTAGACATCAGAGTAATGACCATATAATTAAAAAAAAAATGCATTTTGTATTTTTGTCTTCATTTCAGACTATAACTCCTGTTCAAGTGGTCCATGTAAGAATGGAGCAAGTTGTACAAACATACCGGACGATTATCAATGTACATGTTCTAATGGTTGGTCTGGTAAAAACTGTGATGTTGGTAAGAAAATATTGAAACTGGTATAATTTGATTTCTCAGGGTGAACATAACTCATAGATGTAATGCATTAATTGGATCAATTAATTAACAAAAAAGATTGCCAGTACAACAGAGCACACCAACTACCAACATTTACCTCTTCCGAGAAAAGTAGACAAGCAACAACGAACAACAAATGAATTAGATAGGTGTGAGCCAAGGCTCCGTGTTGAAGGCCGTACTTTGACCTATAATTGTTTACTTTTTACACATTGTGACTTTGGTGGATAGTTGTCTCGTTGGCAATCATACCACATCTTCTTATTTATAGATAACCTAACTTGTTATAGACATAAAATGTGGTGGATTAAACCAGTTTTACATGCACACAAACATAACTCTTTTTTTTCTATCTAGACGATATGTAGTAAGAGTAAAATATACAATAAAAAAACTACAGTCTTGGCCAGCTAAATATATTTTTTTATTATTTTTACCTCAATTCTGAATGAATACCTTTTATATAGTAATTACAGGTATACTCTAATAAGCTTATAAATTGTTTTTTTTAGTACTCCACATTTGTATGATTCAACAAATATTTTTTTCCAGATATACAGCCACCAGTTATGACAAATTGTTCTAGCGACAAATACATTACAACACCAAAACTCACAGATCTAGTAGAATGGCAGAAACCTTCTTTCGCTGATCCACACAATTTTCCGATTGACATTACAGCCAACTTCCTTACCAATGAGTTCACATTTCCATGGGGAGATTTTAATGTTAGTTATTCAGCTATTAAGCCATCGAACGGTTTAAGAACAAACTGCTTGTTCGGTGTCAGTTTAAGGCGTAAGTTTTATAAGTAGAAATCGCTCGCCTAATTCGTTTAATTATTTTACAACTCAGCATTCTATAAATGGATGTATTTACATTTGAAGAAATGATGAGTCGAGAACAAAAGAAAAGTAACTCTTCAAGCGAATAAGGTGACCAATCAAATAGTGTTAATGTCGGTACCCCCTTATCCATTTCGTAATCATTGTATTTTCAATTAATATCTGTTGAACTATGTTTTATTTTTTTAAATATGCATACAAATGCATATTGCCATATTTATTCAATTAAATGAATGAATGAATCTGTATTTCCTCCATGTATTTGAAGATTTTGCATACAATTTTCTTTTCACTACTAAAGATTGCTTTATTCATTTTCTATTTTCAGCAAACCCTTGTCCTCCAATTAATGTTCCGGCGAATGGAGCTTTGATATGCAACAACTGGAGAACTGATTATGGTCAGTTTTGTACATTTTTCTGTAAAGAGTCGTTCACAGTTCCACGTGGTGTTATAATAGATGACTTCTATGTTTGTGGAGCTTCTGGATCGTGGACTCCTACAAATACAATTCCCGATTGTTCAGGTAAAAATGCTAGAATGAGACGATTTTTATTAACTAGCATACGTTTAATTTACAAATTTGTCAAACGTTTGTTCCATAATGATTTGATCGTTGGTTAATTTCGTTTAGTGGCATATATTTCACGTATATTCTGGTTTATTTCAGTTGCCTATTATGAACACTTGTACACAATAGAACTAAAGATAAATGCCGGTAAATGGGTCAAATCATTCATAATAAGATCAAAATGAAACTAGAGCCATCACACAAAAGAAGAAATAAACATTGTTTCCGGATTGTGCATTTTTCATACATGCTAACCATTATTTTAATAAATGCAGAGACGAGAAAACTTTCTTAAATTAAATAAATAATGCTTAACTATTCTATATTATATCGTTTCATTTGATTGTTTTTTTTTCAGAAAATTCCCCTTATTTCAGATGGAAATAAACATGTAATTTCTTTTTAATGTTTTATTTCAGTAATGGTTACAAATTTACAGTCAACCGCAGGATATAATATAGCACCAACATATTCCAGTTGTTCTGATAACCGTAGAGAAATGCAGGAGTTTTACATAGAAAAACTAAGCCAATCAGATTTCAGCTATTTTTGTGAAAAATTTCAAGGAGAATGTATCCCAGAAAATGTGTCTGTTCAGTGTTAAAAGACTTGTTCATTGTTTAGTCTGGTCAACATTTCATTAATCATCAAATAAACTAATCAATTCTATATTTTGCCAATTATTGCACATGTCAACACATTTTCGTTGCTGTTCAGAAATAAAATTACATATGAATTATTGGAATTCGTAGACTTGATAAAGGAACGCCGGAAACCATATATTATAATAAATCATACTGCAATGTGCAACTAAATAGACTATTTCTATATAAGGAAATTAAATTAAATTTGAAAGTTACATATTTATAAAATCAAAGCAAAAAAGTTCAAAGACGATATTTACCTGCAAACCTTTACTAATGAAAAAACACAAGTAAAACTGCAGTGTGTAATCATTCTTTGCTTAAAGAACAGCTATGTGTGTCCCCGTCCGGTAAGTCGCCAATATAGAAATAAGGAGACGTGCTATGGTTGCCAATAAGACAACTATCCACTAGAGTTCCAATGACGTGGATATAAGCAATTATAGGTCACCGTACGGCCTCCAACAAGGAGGAAAAACCAAACCGTATAGTCGGCTATAAAACTAAGGCCCGTACATGAAGTATGTGAAATAATTCAAACGAGAAACTAATGGCATAATTTATACCAATACAATTTACGAAAAACAAATATGACAGACATGCACGAACAAACGACAACCACTGATTACTATAGGCTCCTGACTTGGTACAGGCGCATACAGAATGTAGCGTGGTGAAACACTTCTGTGAGCGCTCAACCTTCCACTGTTTTGTTTAAACTAAAACAAGTTCGGAACATGACCTTCGTAATCAAGTTGTTCCACATAGTCAAGTTAATTAATTTACTTCTGTTTTTTTCTTTAACTTTTACTTTCAAATGTATGAAGATATACTATGAACCGTCAATTGTCACTGTTGCATATTATACACCTATTGACTGGGTATGAGGGTAATAGCAAGTTTGTTGTCCCTGAGATACCAACTATTGCTCGAGGCGAAGCCGAGGGCAATAGTTAGTTTCAAAGGGACAACAAACTTGCTATAAACCTCATAACCAGTCATTAAGTGTTTTATTATACCGAACAAAACAACTTTCTAAAAAGACTACATACACCACTTGAAAAAAAAATGATCACATAGATATGTGCAAGATGAACTATCAGGTTTTTTTCCTCCTGTGTGGTATTTGTCAATAATCTATTTACTGTAATCAAGACCAGGAATCCTTGTGTAAAAATTCCCGTGCATATGATAAACATTCGCTAAAATATTTTACCGTACACCAAAGCAATCCCAGATTATGAAGACGACGACAGACCAATACCATACATTACATGTTTTAGTTCTTAAAATATGTCGCGTAGATTTTCTTTTTCAATTGCTTCTGGTAAGTAATATATTAGTTTGAAATTACGACAGATACATACAGATTACAACGTTTACGATATTTCAGAGTTTAACGTTGCCAAGCGCACAAATCCAAGCAGAATAGTCGATGACGTCATTGTTGTCCAATGAAAAAATAGTATGAAAAAGTACGGGAAATATGTTTATAAAACTATTGACCGGGGTAATAGTCTTTGAAACTATTGACTGGCAAATAGTCTGTGGAATTAAATAGCACAAATATTTCATTCTTTTTTATATAGAAAAAACATACTGAGGTATAATAAATCTAAATATGGATCGGAAGAATTGAAATTTAGGCTAATCTAAGAGTTTTTGCAGTTTTCTTTTAAATACAAGAACTTTTACGGCCTAAAAGAAGTACAAATGTATGAAAGACCAAATTTATGTATATTAAACTGACTGATATACATTGTATAACAGGGTCCGTATGGATAAATCTCCTTTAGTTAAGATTTTCCTTAGTAAACATTTAAGTTAAGGAAACTATGCCTTTTTACACGTAGTGGTATGCATAAAAAATCTTAAAATAAGTATTTCCTTAGTAAAATCTTAGTTGGTTTAAGTCACGCCCACAAAACATTTAAAAATGGCATCTATAAGAAAACGCTTAAGATTATATTTAAGATTAAGGTGATTAAGGTGCATATAGAGCTACCCTATATTTTCAAAAACAGATAAAAATCAGTCGAAAGTATGCGTTTTTGCAGAACAAGGATAGGTTAGCTACCATTTAAATGATTATTGATTGTATCATTAATATTTCGTTTGTTAATTGCTAAATATTAACAACCATTGTAGTTTCTTTAAATCACGTATGATCACAAAATCAATAGATAACAAAGGGCAGGTATATAATTTGTTTATTAAATTTAATTATGTAATTATGTAAAAATGCATGGAATATTAGATCTCATTTAGTCTCATAACTTTATATTTGTCATAGTATTATACTATTGTTCTCTGCTGTCTATTCATGTTTTATATTATGTAATATATGTTGGTAATTTTACCATAGCATGTCTATGCTTTTTCAATAAAGATTCATTCATTCATTCAATTTCATTCTATCATAGTGATTATGTCTCAATCTCGCTATTATGTAATTCCGAAAAATACTCACAGTTTTTACACGCATAGAATTCATGCTATTATTTTTCTTTTGATTCCTCTCTTCGTGCATGCTTACTTAAATAACATTGAACGTTATGTTGTTTGAATACACCGCCTGGTATTTTTAGTACAAAACATTATAAATGAAGCAATGGGGATCTTTAGGAAAGCAAACTCCTGTTTTCTTGGGGAGGGGGATATCGGTTTCATTTTCAGTTATATAGTTTTATTCTTAAGATAAATGCCAAATTTACATTGATTGAACGATACATACTTTTGTTAAGAGCTGAGGTTAAATTGGTGTTGGTATGTAAAACAATTTGGTAATACGTAACCAAGTAAAATGTTGAAACAAATGACAAATTGGCAAATAAAAGAAAATATTGTTTTGATGGACGAACATGGGAAGAAAACATATTTGTAATCCAAAATTTCCCCTTACTTAATCTTTAATTCATCTTTCATGGGTGTTGCTGGATGGAGGGGTCTGTTTATTTTCTGGAGACAACAATAAATTTTTATCTCTAACATTACATGATAAAGGGTTTTTAAAATCTATTTCGATTTAAAATAAACTTTTCTTATAACTTCCCTTTTATGACAATAAAAAAAAGGGTAGGATCAATTTTCCATGAATTCATATTAAAACAAGGGCATTTTTCAAAAGTCCTCCAATTTTTACTAAAACACACTTATTAGATTCATATGTTTACTGTAAGGTATTATCAACATCTTAGCGTATTTCCGAATATTTCACTTGAAAGTTATCAATGCCTAACTTGAGATGATTCAAAATTGCATGCATTCTTCCTAGATTTTAGACAAATTTGAGCAATTATCCACAAAATGACGAGATGGACAATTCTATTGGAAGTTATTACATAATTTTCTTTCAGATACACCATAATTTATTCAGATTAAAGTCCCTTTATGTAAAATTTGAAATTCGCAATATTTTCGTTTACAGTAATATATCATAATTTTAATTCGTATAATAAAAAAGCAAAATGATGATGTTAAATTTGATGTATGCCTTTTTGTGCTTCTTTGTTACATTTGTTTGTTTTTATAGTGATTAAGATGATAACGCAATGTTGACTGCTGTACCCCTATTTTTGACATTTTTACCTATTGTGTCTGTTTGTTTTGTTCACGCATCGTTGTCAATATAATTGAATTTGATGCGACTGTCATACAAGTGAGAGGTTTAGCTAGCTATAAAACCAGGTTCAATCCACCATTTTCTACATAAGAAAATGCCTGTACCAAGTAAGGATTATGACAGTTGTTATCCATTCGTTTGATGTGTTTGAGCTTTTGATTTTGCCATTTGATTAGGGACTTTCCTTTTTGAATTTCCTCGGAGTTCAGTATTTTTATGATTTTGCTTTTTATATCACTGAATATTTAAAGGAAATATGAAAAATAATTCAGTACGGTTTAGGTATCAGAAATACATTATTTAAACTTCGAATTTCATAGAGCAGGTCTTAAAACTTTCCGATTTTGTTCCAGTAAGTGAAACAAATTCAGGGGAAATTTGCCCTATATCTTTCGAAAAAAACTAAATAATTGAAAATTAAATCGATGCCCCCAAACACCACCACCACCACCAGAAAACAGGATTTTACATGCCTTAAGATTCTCATCTCTTCATTCCTTCATACAGTTTTTTACTAACAGTTATAAGTTACAATTGATATCAAGCGTTGTATTTTAATAATATAACGTTCAATGTTATTTGTGTAAGCATGCATGAACAGAGTATTCAAAAGAAAAATAATAGCATGAATTCCATGCGTATAAAAACTGAGTACTTTTCGGTATACACAATAACGAGATTGAGAAATGAGGATAGAATGAAGTTTCTAGCTAAAGTACCCTCTGTTATCTCTTGGGTTTGTTGATTTTACGTGATTTTAAAAAGAAACTATGGTCGTTAATATTTAGCAATAAACAATCGAAATATTACTGACATAATTATTAATCAATTAAATAGTAGCAAATCTATAAATATTCTGCAAAAAACGCATACTTTTGACTGATTTTTAACTATTTTTTGAAAATTTAAGGTAGCTCTACAGGTACCTTATACTTAAGTATAATCTTAGGCGTTTTCTTAGTATAAGGGGTTTTATGCATACCACTTAAGTTTTGTGGGCGTGACTTAAAACAACTAAGATTTTACTAAGGAAATACTTGTTTAAGATTTTTTATGCATACCACTTAAGTAAAAAGGGCGGAGTTTCATTAACTAAAGTGTTTACTAAGGAAAATCTAAAAAGTAAAATCACAAAAATACTGAACTCCGAGGAAAATTCAATCGGAAAATCCCTAATTACATGGCAAAATCAAATGACAAAACACATCAAACGAATGGACAACAGTAAACTTAAGTAGCTTTATGCATACGGGTCATGTGCCTTAGAGATGGGGCAAATCTGTTTGATTAATCCGATGATTTCGAACTTTTTTGATAATAAGATTTTACTAACATATACCATTATTAAGCTGGATGATTTGCTACAAGATAAAGTTGAGTATCCATTACGCGATTCCTCATGTGAGTGAACTATTGTATTTATCATATACATCAAGTGAACCAAAACCTTCTAACGGTACAAGCTGGTAGGATAAAGCATTACCCTGCAGTAATCCAGGATGTTGTTGTATTTTTATAGTTTTAATGTTTTTATTGTTAATTTGTTCTCGTCCTGAACATGCATGAAACTTTTCAACTGGGTGTAAAGCAGACATCAATAAATCAATGAATTTCCTTCCAAGCCCCTTTCATCTCTCCTGTAGTATAGGTAGGGGGAGTTTTGCATTAAAAATATTTTTTCTTTCCATGCTCGTCCATCAATTCAACCTTTTCTCTAATGCGCTAATTAGGCATTTGTTTTGACATTTTAGTTGGTTACGTATTTTTGAACCAATTTAACCCAGTTCTTAATAAAAGTGTGTATTGAAATTTAATACTGTTGAACTTACTTTAAATAAAGCTAATACTAACAATGACCACTGTCCATTCCTCGATCTTGATATCTATATCATTAACGGGAAGCTTAATACAAAAATTTATGATAAAAGAGATGATTTTTCATTTCCTATCGT